CAGGCCCTTTAAGGGTGACTCTTCGAGTCATAAAAGTCTTGCAAAATATTTTAAAAGTAAAACATTATCAATTATCATAAATAATCAGAATTCAGAGTTATTGATTCAAGATATTATAAATAAGCAAAATCTGGAGTTATTGATTCAAGATATTACAATAAAAAAGATAGTATACGCTAGCGAGGCTTTAGTTAATGATAAGTATCAGATTTCTCTTTTTATTAAAATTGTCATTATTATAATAATAGTGATATTAATTATTTGGTATATATATAGGAATATTTTTTACCCACTCCTGCTTTCTCATTCTTTGAACTTGAAGCCAGATTATAGCTACCATATGACCACCTCTAACAATTTGTTTTCTGGAATATACTCACAAAGTGAGAGTAATAATATATCTAAACTGACTATGAACGAACAAAGTGAAGTGAATTATCAAGGGAAAGAAATTTTTTATTCAGTTTATAGAAATTATAGATATGGATTCCCAGGAAGCAGTACTTCAAGTTTCTAATTTATCTGATATACAAAAAAATCAAAAGAAAGAACTATTGCAGAACAAGCCTGAAGGGCAAACTAAGGATTATAGCTCATCAAGCTTATTTTCAAAGAAAATGGGTTTCACTCTACCACCTATAAAACTTTATCTTATAGATATAGATGAAGCTAATAAACATGAATCAATTCGAAATATTGGACATCTAGCAATATTATAGCCCTTCAGTAAGGTAGTTAGTAGTAAGAGTAGTACAGGTAAAACTAATATACTTGGAAATATTTTTGTTAGTGATAAAGGTGAATGTATATATAAAAAGAAAAAGAGTAGATCCTGCTATATATGATGTGATGATTTGATAGTTAGTGGATATTACACAGATAAACCTAAATAGGTATTTGCTAGATATATATATGGAGTAATTGCAAGTGATCCAAAAGTATCATATTACGAAAATATTAGATTTAAATATATCTCATCTGAAAAAATTCCTAGCGTAAAGTCATTTTCACCTGAGAGAAGTACTGTAATTGTTTTTGAGGATTTATGTGTTGCT